AGTTTGGTGTCACTGCGTCAGAATAACCCAGAGGAACGACTTAAGGGAGGGAGGATTTACTCTGGCTCCCTTCAGAAGCTACAACATGGTAATGGAAGAGTGGCAGCTGGAGCTTGTAATAAGAGTTTGTTTAAGTCACATCAAAACTCAGGCAGCAATAGCCATAAGCCCACACCAGCCTCTAATTACCTACTTTCTCTAGCTAAGTCCCACCTCCTAGGTGTCCCACAATCCCAAGCAACAGTACCGCTGGGACCAGCCTTCAAAGACAATAGTCTATGTGGCTCGTTTCATGCATAAACGACAACGGCTATAGAACATCATCACTTCTTTCATGTGGCAACAGAATACCACAAAATTCTACAAGTCTTACTTCTTTACTCAACAGACCAACTTGTAAGGATTGTAGCACTTCACACAAACCCAGGATTACCAAAGAAATTTTGAACTATCAGATTGGGGACATATACACTTTGGGGGCCATGCATACTCCATGAAAACATGAAACCATCTTAGATAAACATAGCTGCCATTTCCTGTACTTAGTATTCCATCAGTGAAGCTTAGGAATCTGTCTCCAAATGAGACAGGATCAACCTGATCTTACTGTTTATTTCCATAATCTTACTAGGATGTTCTCTGTGTTCAGCACTAGGCGAACCCTTAATCAGAAAGCTTACTGAACAAGTGAGTTGATGTAGGATGGTCTTGGTAAAGAAAGGGTTTATGTACAACAGAGAAAGCTATAGCATGGGGAGGGTCTTCTCAATGTTAACTGTACATTTTATATTTTTCATTATACAGTCTTAGGAACAAAGCTCTTTCTGTTTTAAATGGAGCCATCTATGATTCTCTTCTATCAGAAAAGTGACTTGAACTAAAGGATGGTTTCAAAGAGGAAAATCTCAAACCATACTGATCCCTGTTTCCTGGGTTACATAAGCATTGGAAAAGAAAGAAAACATTTTTCAATATCATAACGAGCAGAGATACTTTTCATGCACCTTTGATAATCTGATAAATTAAGTAGACACACTAAGATAAGTGTGTCATGAAGTACAGTGTATGAATGTTTTCAGAGCCCTCTGTGCAAGAGATCTGGGTAGTTGTTTTCATAGCTATGAAACATGAATGCCACTTAGGTGAATTTGTGGATCTCTATTTTTAAACTGTTGAAATTATTTGTTAAAAGACTCAAGAATAGTAAACTTTACTTTCTCACTGTGTTCTTGTTCAATTCATTGTCATACTCTCAAATCAAAGGCAGATACACTGTGATCAATTTCTGGTTTTGATACATGGGAAAGCCTTCCATCTCCTGGAAGCTGTTGACAATTACTCACATTCATAACAAGAAGGCATCTTGCTGTCTCATGAGATTGGCCTGGGAGGTTGCTTGATCAATTTGTTGATCCGCTGGAGGAAAAAAGATATTTATAAAGCAAATCCCATGAATACAATTCACTTATTCTAAGAGTTACATTTCTGTACTGTGCCAACAAATTAGAAATTTTGCAAAGCAATTTATTTCTTTTACCCTACTTTCCTAAATATTACATCAATCAAGAATTAAATATACTTATGACTATAGGAAGTATTTCAGGGTTTTTCTACCTCTTCTATAAACAGGATTGTAAATATATATGAAAATGTCAAAATGCTACATTTGTTGGTTTTCCTGATTAATACAAATACCCTGTTAAATTTGAAATTCAGATAAGTTGCAAATATAATTTAGGATAAGTATGTATTAAACAGTGCATGGAACATATTTATCCTAACTTATGTTCTGTCATTTGATGCTCATGTTTAGCTGGGCAGTTATATATTAATTTTAAAACTACAACAACCTTAGAAACTTGTGCACAATATCATCTCATTCATCTGTAAGTAAACACTTGATTTTCTTTTTTGTAGCACAATGGTTTTGAAACTGTCATTTTATTTGCTGTTGGACATATGATTTCTAGCTAAGAGCAAGTATTTGGGAATATATACAGCCAAGTTCCCATTGAATTTGCAATCAAATCCTTCCTACTGTTTCTTTCTTAATCAGTTTCTGCTAACATGCCTTTTTACATCTGAGACTTTAGGAAGAAGAGTAGAAAGAGGTAGGTGTTCATATCAGATTGATTGCAGATCAACCCTTTAGACATTTGAGAAGCTATTACTCGGAGATGCATGTTCTGCTTTTAAATTAGCTATCATTTTATATGGGATTTAAAAGGATTTCTTATGAGAAGCAGAAACTTTTCTAAACAAACGATATGTAGGCATTAAGTCTGTGAGTCTTGAAAATGAATAATTCATTTTGAAGTAAATGAGAAATTATTTTGTGCGGTGACTTACACATTTGCACATGTATAGTTAATAGTCATTGGCGACATGGGGTATTAGTTGTGAATTGTGGGTTTTCAATATCGCAGACATATTTGTTGCTGTGGTTTTTGCAATACCATTTCCTGATGCTTTGCTCAACTGTGGTTTTTTATAATCATTGTTTGTTAGCCATGTGGCTGTGGCTTGGAGCTGCTAGATCCATTTGGACAGAGGTAATTGCTTATAGGGTTTACTGTCTTTTTATTTTATAACCATGGTGAATTAAACTAGAGAAAATAAAGATTGAACCTTAAATATAACTCATAGTCTCATTTGAAATTGACGAGGAAATACATGCAGGAGTATTCAGTTTATTTTGTTCATATGATCTAGAAATAATATATGCATATTTATATATTCATGCATTTAGATAAACCAATATACTATTTAATAACACACTCTGGTTATAATCAATCTTGCCTTAGATTTCCTTACTTTTGTTCCTTTCAGTTTTTTAAACTAAATGTTTATCTCCGATTTATTGGTTTCTCTTTGCTTTGCATATTTAACTATTTCAGATGCCAAAAGAAACACTAACTGCTATGTTATTTTAATTCCAGTGGACATTCCTTCTGGGTGACATAAGTCATCCAATTCTGTTAAAAACCTATGAAAACTGTAATGTACAATAATTCCAATTCTCAGATCCTCAGCACACTAATTTAATTGTAATGAATTGAGAATGAGGGAGTCAAACAGCTGAAGTGTCTGTTTGTTTATTCACCCCACAACTTAAGAACAAATAACCTTGCTTTTCATGGTATTTAAGACCTTAATTTGTTGCATCTTCAGGGCAAGGACTTGGTCGTTTAGTTCATTTTCCATTGCAAAGGGCTATGCATGGCGCCGTTATAACCTCATATGGTCACAGAGCTAATGGTAGTGTAATAAAAGTCACAGTTGGTCCCCAGCCTTGTATTAAGGTTGCTCAGCCATACCTTTGGTGAGGTGAAGCTTTGCACCTTTTAGAAGACGTCCTAATGGGGTAAAAATGACGTGAAGTAGACTGCTTCTTGAGCAAGGAGCATCCTGCATTATGCTCAATCAGTCCAGGCTCTGTGCTGACCCCAGACCCTTTTAGAGTATCATTTGGTGATGCTTATGTGCAGGCTACTCAACCAAACAAAGGGGACACAGTTTCAGGTCGCAGTGCACAATTTCATAGCCTCCTGGGTGAAACATTGGTAGTATCTAGGGAACACATGTTAACTATATAGGAGTTTATTAGTAAATACTAATTAGATAGTGTCCGTTCCCACTAAGCTAAGGTTGCTCACCTTAACTGAACTAAAATAACACTCTGCAGTCATTTCAAAATACGTTCTCTTGTGCCTTGCCATTTCCCAAACCACAAACATAAATGAACGAATCTGAAAGAAACAGAACCCAGTAAACCAAAGAACCAGGAAATAGTTGTTGTGTCTTACCTGATTGAAAAATTATGACAATAGCAAATCTTTTATTAGCTCCACGGTGCTTTCCTGTGGCAGTAATATGAAACTGGAAGGTCACGGGGGCAGGGTGGAATTGTAGTACTTCCACAGACTTCATACAAAGTTAGTGTGTCGTGATCCCTTCCTATCTAGAGAAAATCATCCAGCTAACCATCTTCCTTTTGGATGTGAAGGGAAAAAAAAAATCTGCCTGACTCCAGATTCAGGAATGTTACTATTTCAAATGGAAACTCTCAAGCAAGATGCAGAAAAGTGCTGGGAACACAGCTCAGCACCCCATCCTTGTGGGCCTAGTGGCTGGGATCCTCCTCCTCCGCAGCAGTCTCCCCGGAACTCTGACTGCAATGAACTGCAATGAAATGGTCTCCTGAGAGCCTGGGCAGATGAGAGGACTTAACGGGCCCCAAGTCACACAGTTGGCATTTGTGATCAGCTGGCTTTCGCCAGGGACTTTGCCAGTGGCCTAACCTTCCTGCCAAGAAACTGGAAGGGCGGAGGGAGGGGGATCCAGGATGGGGAGCAGTAACTGGAGGCACAAAGTTTATGGAAGGAGACTGAGATTTCTTTGTGCCCTGCTAGATGGGCGAGGCATTAGGGAGGAGTGTTAGGGGTTCCTTGGAAGAGGCTGTTGGAAGAAGTTGCTGGAAGGGGAGCGGGGGAAGGGTGGCCTGGCAGCTGCCCAGCATTGACGCGGTGACAACTGCAGAAGGTGCCCCCCCCCTCCAAACCTCACATCTCCCTCACCCCCATCAACCTCTTTAACTCCCACCCACGCCGCCGCCGCGATCCCCTTGCACTCCACGCGACCGAGGCCCGGGCGTGAGTTTGCATCCGGACTGGCTTTGGATGCAGCCAATCCTCCTTTCGCTGATGGCATAGTCTCCCCTCCCCACAGCCCTGGCGCGCCCCTCCTTCGCGCGCCTCGCCACCTCCCGCAGCAGTGCGAGCGCGGCGCGGCCCGGAGCGGCGGCGGCTGCGGCGGCGCCCGAGTCTCTGCCCGGCAGCCGGGGACACAGGGAGCAAGCGCGCGCCTCCTCTCGTATCCTCCGCCCCTCGCAGACCGGGTCCCCCTGAGCGCACTCCTTCCCCTCCCTCCTTCTCTTGCTTGTCTACCCCCCTTCCCCTTTTCTCTCTGCCTGGCCGATCGCTCCTAGATTCTCATACACCCCCCCCCTCCCCTTAGCCCCAGCGCTCTCCCTGTCGCCCCCTCCTCTCTTCCCTGTCACACTCTCTCTGCCCCCCTCGCTCGGCTTCTCATTCGCTTGCTCGTCTCCAAACGTGGATCCGCTGCTCCCGGAGGAGCCGAGCGCCGGGATCCCGCGCGCACCGAGCACCTGGAGTCCGCCCGGCGGCGGCCCGAGCCTGGCCAGCGGCGGCGGCTGAGACAGAAGCGGCGACAGCGCAGGAAACGGTAGCAGGGGCCGCGGACACCGCGGAAGCCCCAGCGGCAGCGGCCGCGGCCGAGATGTCCCGGCGAAAGCAGAGCAAACCCCGGCAGATCAAACGTAAGTTTGCGCACGGGGCCGGGAGTTGGTGGGATCGGTTCCTGGGAGAGGGGCGCGCACGGCGGGTAGGGTGGGAGACGCTCGGGGCGATCGGCTTCTGGTCTTCGGGATTTGTCAAACTTTGCGAGCAAAGAGGGACAACCAGGCGGCCTCAGACAAACACACCGCCAGCTGGAGCGCAGGGCAGATGCAGCCCAGTCTGCTCCTCCGGCATTCGCGCTCCTAGGTTTCTTGTTAATTTCAACTCAGGGTTCGTTGCAGTTGTCGCCGCTTTTTATCATGGAGCCTTAACAGGACAATCCCCTCCCGCAGACGCTTAGTATGAGTGTTGTCATTGTTGTGGCCACCAAAGGGCCTGCCACTCTTGGGAGCAGCTACTGGTAACCAGGGATGAAGTTCTCAGAGTGCCTGGAGGCCACCAGGCTAGGGAGGTAACTTCCCTAGGGCGGTGGAAAAAAAAAAAAAAAATCAGTGTCTGAGGACCCGATCCTGGGCGGTGCCACAAGCCACACCAAACCGAAGCGAAACAAAAAGTAGGTGTAAAAGTTCGCGCCTCTGTTAGAGGCAGCTGTGCATCCCCTCCCTGCCTGCCCTGGTGTTGGGCTGCGACCTGGGACTCCCCGTGGGTCCCACTCCTGCTGCCTGGACACTTTGTCACTGGCCCTGGAGGCGCCGAGTCCCTATTGGGAGGGGCTGCGTTCACTTCTGGGCTCACAGGCTTTGAGTTCCAGGTAGCCTGCACACTCAGTAAAGTGCCAAGGTGCTGTTCCCAGCCCCAGGGGTCTTTATGTTGTCCAGAGGAACTTGCAGGACAAGGGATATCTGCCCTGCCTGGAACCCACATTCTCACAGAACTCTTCCTAGGCCAACTTTCCTCGCCTTAGGGGAAACTACTCCTGTCCACTTTATAGGCCTGCGGAATATCTTCAACACTTCAGCCAAAAAGAAAGTTAAAGGCCTTATTACATTATTATTATTATTATTATTATTATTATTATTATTATTTTAGGAGCTCTCTGATGTATCCCTGATTTATTGTGTTGTTGAGATTATGGTCACTAGTCTAAAAGTAATTATCATGTAATTTTAGTGTAATGTTTTAATATTACCCCCCACCCCAGATTATTAACCACTTTACCCTACGTGCAAGTCAAAATTTCCGTTTGGTGTAGTTTAAAAATAAATCTTACCAGCCAACTTGTCCTTGAGATGGGGGCAGGTTATACACAGTCCGTTTCAGTTAATTATTCATATACATCATATATGCACATACAGGCACGCGCGCGCGCGCGCACACACACACAGACACACACCACTCCCTGCCCCCCGGGTGTGACTTCCAAGCCTTAATTGAGTGGATTTCCATCCCTATGCTGCAGTTCTCAATTTTAAGCAACTTATTTCAAACCCAGAAGTGTATGTGCCTCACTTTTGGATGAAAGTCCTCCTAATCCACACCTGCTCCCTAAGACTTTTCACTGTTTCAGATCCACAATACCAGCTGATTGTTTTCTACTTTTTGATGCTGAGTTGATTAGAGGCTTCTGTTTACATTTTGCATTTTACTGCCCAAAACGGTGCTTATTGGAAGAAAGGGTTAGAAACATTACGTGCAAATGCTTTTTAGTTCCTGGCTGTTGCCTAGATTGTTAATAAATAATTAATATTAATTGATTGTATGGCACAAAGACCATCTGATTCTACTTGGGAATACTTTGTTATCTTCTCAATTAGCTACATTCAATTTTTCCCCCTTTTCTTTCATGTTCACCTCATATAATTGAAGATTAAAGCATTGGAACTAATTGCTGATGCTACTTTGGGTTATAGGTCATAAAACATTTTACAGGCTTATTTGAATACTGTGATTTATTAACTACCAAAAATCCGTAAATGTTGTCCCATTGGAAAATGAACAAATAGGTATATTGCATGTATGTGTATACTTGTTCACAGGAATCATTGCCTGCTGATGTATTTATACATATGTAATATATGTGCATTTTAGTCTTTTCTGCGATTCATTCTGGGGTCATAGTAGCAGTCTATGCAAATGTGGACTCCTCTCCCACCACTGTTAAAGAAAATGAAAAATAAACGATTTTTGAATTGCTCAATGGGAGCTTGCAGTCTGAAAGCTTGTTGGGAGGAGCAGCTCAAAAGTCGATTTGGCTGCACTCTGTGGTTTCTTAGTCTCCTTTTGCCTGTCCAGAAGTATGAGGCAGGTTTTCAGAGAAAGAAGTTTGTCTTACCCTCAAAGTCTTTACCGTGATCCCTGGCGCCCTCCAGTTTTAGGTGTGTGTAAGAAGTATGCTTGTTTTCCACTAAAATTAACAGTTTCTTTGGGTAGTCTGCATCAGATATTAAGTTTGTGCCTTGAAGACGCTCTGTGAAACAAAAGAATTTCCTACACTTCAGAAAACTAAGTTTAAACTTGAAAACATCCAGGACTTGAAAAATAAAGCATTGGTACTGCTGATATAAATATATCCAATTTAGAGCAACAACAGCCAGCAAAAGTCAGCTCATCGCAGAAACTCTGAAGACAGTCAATTTAAAGGACAAAAAGGTTGTTGGGCACAGAGTTTTTTCTTTCTTTCTTTTTTTTTTCTTTTGCTGCATACAGTTTCTTGCTATCTAAAATTGTGATTTATGCAGTATTTTAATATTTTGCTTATTCTTTCCCCTTGGGTGCTCTCCGGGCAGCGATAAAAAGGCAACCCTGAAAGAGCACCATTAATTTGCTATGATGACTGGCCAGATAAGAGGAGATAATGGGAAAGATAAGCGGAGAAGATATACCATCAGAAACCCGATTATTACCATTAAAATTCCGGCCCAGCAATCTGCAGAAGCCTGATAATTCCTTCTCCGTTTCCACCACTTTGGGTGATAAGGCAAAAAATAGTCACTCAGTGCTCCTTGATTAGACTGCCTGGATTTCCTGATAATACAGTGATAAATTATGTATTTTGCCCCCATGTTTTGTCCCAAAATTCAGATTTTTTTTTCCTATTCCAAGACTATATTTTCTGCCTTCCTCTCAGAAGCTTTTCTCTCATAAGCTATTATTGTAATCCTGGATTGATAAAAAGCTGTGATAGGACGGGAGGTGTTTGGTGTGGAAGCCATATCATGCTATCAGTCCATCTCCCACACAGCTGCTTGCTGTTGTTGTTTTTAGCCTTATCACCTCCTGCCAATATGCCAATAAATTGCCCAGATTGTTCTCCATTCTGGGGCTTCACTGCAAAATTTATGACAGGAGCGATGATTTTTTTTTTCTTTTACCAATGCATCTCTTTATGGGTAGCAAACGTGTGGTATGTGCAGTTTTATTGTTATTTTCTTCTTCAAGCTGTTGTCTCTAGTTATGTGCTTACTGCCCTATATATCTCAAACTTTACTCTTGCTTAAGTATCTTAGTTATGGGTTCAGGTAAAGATATGGACATTACACACACACACACACACACACACACACACATCCATTATCTGCTCTTGATAGCTAATGCAGTGCTTGAAAAGAAGACCAGTAATTCAAATATTTTGGTTTTATATAAAATTAAGAAAGGGTGCTCTTCTTTATATTATCGGAGTTTTATGAACTTTTTAGATGGCTTAGTTTTGTCAAGCCAGAAGGGTATAGATGTGTAGCCCAGACATGTTCAGGTGTCCAGTAATTTGTGATGAGGCAGAAAGAAAGGCTGAGTTAAGGGACAGAATACTTTCTGTTTTTTAAAGTGAATTCAGATTTGAAGAACTAACAGGTAGGCTGAAAATGAAATACCCATATTATGACTAATATTGTATCAGTTATTCAAAGGGATTTGCAGAATTTGGAAGCTGGACAGAGTGGCTAAGAGATTTCTTTTTAATTTTTTTTATTTGAAATGTTATTCAACCAATTTTAGGCCATATGAGTACCCAAGTAGCACACTGGAATTTTAATGCTATATGCTATTTTTTGAAAGAGTGATTTGATATCCATGCTTTATTTAAAAAAATTTGTTTTTACAATTAGGATGTTATATATTATTATTTAATATTAGTCATTGAAAAACACTAGATGAGTCACTTTTAGAAATTTGAAGTTATGGTATTTGAAAGCAGTAAATATAATTATTTTCACTATTCTACTATAGGATTTTTGGTGCTCTATTATTGTACAGTCCATAATTATCCACTTTTCAACATTATTTTGGACGGGTTTGGAGATAGCTATGCTTCTTTTAAACACACTCACCCTTTTCACAAATACTTGGAAGGATTTTACCTGCCCAAATGTGAAGATAGGTTTGGTTGGAAATAAAATACTAAACATTTTGAAGATAATTGAATGCTGCATTAAATATAATACTTTCTCTTTGGTTCAGAATATCTTTTGTGTAAGGAATTCAACTATCAATATCATTGGTTAAGAAGCATTTTTTGAAAACCTGTCTTTATACCAGCTGTTAAGTAAAGGAATATATATGTGTATATGCATACATGTAATATTAGTGGTTTTATCAACAAAACAGAATGATACCCATTGTTTGTAAAGTAACTTAAAATTAATTTGTTCATCTTCATATTTGCAATAATGTTAATTAATTTGTGTAATTTTAGAAAATATAGGAATCATTAATCAGGAGACTTAAAATTGACCAATTTTAAGATGGTAACTAAGTAAACCTGATGCTTGAAGGGTTAAAGTATATGAGAATATGAGAAAGTTCATATATAAGAGATCATTAATCACGAAGTCAGCCTTTTCAGGTTCAATAAACTCAACGATGCAAATAGAAATGAGCCAACATTTTCATTTCTAATTGCTGCAAACTGTTAGGGAATAAAATTGGGCCTTGTGACTTGTGGATACCAGAGAAGCTCTTCCATTTTCCACTTTTGATCGCTTTCAAAGTAAGTCATTAGTAAAACTATGACGTCAGAAGAATGATCAGCGTTTACTCTTACATATGACAACCGTTTAAAATAAATAAGCAATTTGGATTTTCT